CTAACACTTAAAAAGGTCAAAAAAAAATAGTAAAATTAAATATAAAATCAATATTTTTTAATAAAATAGTATAATATAATAAAACTTTCAGTAATTTTATAGATAATAATTTTTATTTATAATAATCATTATTTTTTTTGTTACATTTATTATAATTCTATAGAACTAATATTTAAATATAGAATATAATAAAACTTTAATAGTAAAAGTATTAAGCTAATAATAAAAAAAGTTATAAGGAAATAAAAATATTTTTTATATAAATATTTTATTATAATATAAACTAATTAATAAAAAATTGATAAAAAGAAACTTTTTTAATATATATTAATTTTTATATTTAAAAAATTTTAAAAGATATCTGAATATAATATGTTAATCTCTTTATTTACTAAACACTTTTATATGTATCAAAAATTATAATAAATAAAGAAATTAAGACTTTCTTTATAATAAATATGAAAAATAATAACAAGAAACCTTTTTTCTTTTCAATCGAAGCCCACAAAAAAAACTTCAAAGTCGGCCTCAAACTCCAAACACGTGATAGTATAAACAAGTGCGTACAATACACTAAAAAAGCTGAAGAAGTTGAGAATAAAAGTATATGAAATTATTATATATTCTATTAAAAATATTATTGATAAGAAAGTTTTCTTTAGTTTATTATTTTTATATGGAAGATGTGTACAAGTAAAAAGTTTTTTTTAATAGAGAATATAAAAAGCTTTAGGAGTAATAATAAAGGTTTCCTTAGTTTATTATATTTTTTATAGCAAATAATAATTGAAAATAAAAGTTTTTTTTTAATAAAAAAATAGGAAGCTTCAAAGATAATATTAAAAAAGTGTTCTTTAGTTCATTTTAATTTTTAAATAAAAAAATTTTAATAAATAGAATAAATAATGTAGACAAAATATAAATTTATTTGTAAAAAAAAAAGTATAAAGTTTAATTATAAAAATATTATAATTAAAGCTTGTCAAAGTTATCAAACCTTTAAAAATTAATGAAAATAATTATACATAATAAAATAAAATTTATATAAAACAAAAAATATTCGCAGTAAATATAAAATAAAGTAAAAGCTTTATTTTTTTTATAGTGCTAAAAGTTTATTTTTTGCTTTAAATATTAACTAATAAAAAAAAATAAGTTTTATAAAAATTAAAAAATTTGCAGTAAAGAAAAAAAATTTAGAATTATATGAATTTGCTAAAATAAAAATAATGAAAAATAATTTTTTTTATAAAATTTATATTTTAAAAAAATTACCACAAACGCAATAAGGGAATGAGAATTATAATAAAAATAATGAAAAATATAATTATTAAAATGGTTTTCTATAAATACTCATAAAAATCTAAAAAGGTTTTTCTTTTTTATTTGTAGCAGCCAATAAAAATTACTAAAATTTAAGTTTTTCTCGCGTCATGATATAAACAAAAAAATAAACGAGTTAAAAGTAATTCTATAAGAATATATTAAATAATATTATAAAAAAATTAAAAACTTAAAAAGAATTATAAGTAAAGTCACAAAATATACAACTATAAAAAAAATAAATGAGTTAATTTTTTATAAAATTTAATATACTAAAAAATAATTTAAAAATTTAATAAAAACTCGTAAAGTATTAGTACCATACAATAAAAATTACCGATTATTTTAAGTTTACGTTGTTTTTTTCTTTAAAAACTTAATAATTGTATAAGAATTAAGATATAAAGAAATAAAAGAGTTTTTGAAAAAAAATTTCATTAAAATATTTATAGATTCAACCAAAGAAAAGTTCTAATGTTAGTTTTTTTTAGTACATCTAAAAGAAGTCACTATATAAACTATAAAAAGACAAACGAGTTATAATAATTCTTAAGTATATATAAAAATACATTCAAGTTTCTTTAAAAAAATTCATTAAGATCTTATCAAAAAACCTTATCAAGGGCGCATGCTCATAACCATGTGACCATAAAATTCTTGTATACGTGGCGAACTTATCGTAGCGGTCTTGCTCTTCCTTACTTAGAGGAGAAGAACGAGTGGAGGAGGTAGCGAACGAACCGAATTGATCAATTTTTTCATAAATCATAAGCACCGTGTCTTCCAAGGTTAAGTTTGATTGGCCCAATTTTGAAGTGATAATCTGTTTGTCTAAAAAAAACCGAAGTAATACCGTGAAAATTTGATAACAATAATAATAATACACCCATAAGCAAAAGTTTGACTGGCAACAAACCTTTTTAAAGTCACGTGGTATGGAAGTGCTAAAATTTACACTGAAGGTACACACATGTAAAAACATTATAATTAAGAACGACAATAAACCGAAGTTGGTAAAAAGATCTATAGTAACTGTAAAGTTTTCCAATAACAGTTACCAATTCAGCCAAATTCTTAGTACAGCTCATAAACGTATTTTCTTTATGATATTAAAGCCACATCAATGATTGGCTGATATTATTATATAACACGTGAGCGCGTTTTTTCAGTTATCATTCAAAAGTTACACTAAAAGTTTAGCTTTATTTATGCTAACTTTAAAATTAATATAATATAAAAAGGTCACATTTATAAGAAAGTAGTGGTGGAAAAAAAAGTTATAGTATAAAAAACTCATTAAAATTTAAGGAAAAAAGGAAAGAGAATATAAGGCCAACAAAAAATTCCAAAAGATATAAATTTTATTACCGAAAAAAAAAAAAGTAAAAAGTTAATATTTATATATATAAAAAATAAATGTATATATAAAAAGCTATTCTAACTAGTTATAACCTGTGATCCCATACTAACGGTAGCTTAGGGCTATAACTCAAAGATTTATAAAATCCTTCATTGTTAGCCTTTTATGCTTTTATTATTAGTCATTCTATTCTCCATGTTATCTTTCTATAGGTAGAAGTACTGTTTTGACCTTTTCAGGTCATTTTTTGATAATTAAGGGCTTCAACCTCCCCCACCTCCAGCTAACTAAGCACGCCTAGCTTGACTTATGGAGGCGCCATTGTCACAATCTTATTTTAACAGGCGTCGTGGGCGTCGCCTACTGTTTTTACGAAAATAAAACGAAACTTATGGCAATATAACTCGTTGACGATATCAAATAACAGAATACGATGCAATATAATTTAACACTATGTTAATAGCTAAACTGTAAAGGCAATCCTAGGGGTTTTAAAAGATATTAAAAATAGTAAATAAATAAAAAGTCAACAAAAATTTTATAAAATTAACGAATATTAATCAATAAAAAAAGTAATAGTAAATCTATTAAATAATTAATAAAAAAAAAGTTTATAAAAGTTATGAATAGCTAAACTGTATGGGCAGTCGCAGGGACTTTTTTTTAACGTGTTTAAAGGAAGAAGACAGTCAAATAACGACTTGCAAAGCGGGCACAGCATAGGAAAAGGCTGAGAGGAGCGATATAAAGCCTCCGAACAGGAAAAGTGAAGTTTATGGCCGCAGCCAGATATAAAAATTCCTTGATCTGCACGTGTAAAAGTGAATTTATAATAATAGTTCATCAAATAGTTTAACAACATAACAAAGAGCATAAGGTGATATCAATTTATTATTGACATAAAAAGTTTATGCAAAATCATAAAAAATTCACTAATTTTTGCACGTGTTAGAGCAAATATAAAATGATGAATAGTTCTTTTATAGTAATAAAAGTTAATAAAAAGTGAAAGTTTAAATAAAGTTTACAATAGAAAATATATGGTAATCATATAAACAAATAAATATAAAAGTTCTCTGATCTGCATCGTGTTAAAATAAAATAAGATTTTTATTCATAAAAAAGTTTTAATAGATAATATTATAAAAAAGTAAAATATCATTAATATTAAAACTTTTAAATAGATTATATTCTTTTACAATATTATTATAATAATATTTTATAATAATTTTATCGAGTATGTCTTAATATTTATTAACTTTTTTCATTATTAAATATTATTTTTATAAATATTAATAACAACCAGTTAAATTCATTCTGCAGCCTTCATAAAGTCTTCGCAGAACAGAAGACAAAACTCCACTGTTTTGGATATTCACGCACATACCAAAAGGTTTGGCTGAGCCGTACAAGGGACTTTCTAATAATAATATTAATAGTAATGAATAATATATAATAATGTAAAAAATGCTAAAAACTAAAAGTATTTTACATTTTTCCTAAAAAAATATATTAATTATAACTAAAAGAAAAAATATAAGGGAGTTATTATATAATAGTTGACGTATAAAATAATATTTAAATAAAAATATATAAAAGCTATTAAAAATAGAAAAAGGGAGCATAAAAAGTTTTATAAGCAACGCGTATATATAAAAAAGTTTAGTCTCAAGTAAAGTTGAAGAAGTTAGTGAAAAAAAAATAACGAGCTTCAAAGTTTTACTATTAGGAAGCAAAAATGCTGTTCACACAATATAATTATATTTAATAATAAACTAATTTTTTTAAACACACAAATAATAGTGATAATAGTAATAAACTTCAATATAATAGTATATAGAATATAAATAAGCACGCCAGTCTATCATTCTAATCATTGATTAGTAATAGCCAATATAAGAACCTTCTTGACAAACGATGCAAGTTTCCATGTGAACATATTCATTATTTTCAATGTCAGAATTATTTTCATCAACATCTTAACAAAAACGTTTTATAGAAAAATTCTTTATTTATAAAAGTATATAAATTTTTAAAAAAAAAAAAAAGTTTAGTTTTGTTATAATTCATTATACAATAAAATTGAACTTATTCAGATCTCTCTGGCAATTTTAAAAAAAAGGACTTTATTAAGTGCGAATATAATAAATTGTTGCAAATAAACATACCTATGTTGTTCCACTCAGAAATATTACTTTGAATAAAGGACGATTGCATTTCCTTAAATTGGGTCAAAATGCGCTCTCTTGCTGCTTTGGCCTACCAAAAAATTTATAATAACTACATATTAAAAAAGGGACCAATAATACCTTTTCTCGCTTGCTTTCATTATTTTCAATGGAAACAGCACTCATGGCTTCCGAAATCCTTGATTGAAGCTTTTTTATAAAATTTAATATAAAAATGAAGGCCAAAGTTTATAGTAACAAAAGTATAATATAGTAAATATAATTTATTGATAAAAATAATTTAATTTTACTTTTTGTATTATACATAAAAAAAAGGAAAACATTTTAAATATAAATAATAATAATAAAAGTTTTTAAACAAAAACTAAAGGAATATAGTAAATATAAAAAACAATTCACTTTTTTGTTACAGTTATTAATATTATTATTAGTATATAAATAAATAAACATATGTTGTATGAAAATAAGAAAAAATAATTTTTTTTAGTATATTATAAACAAAATAAATATTATATCCATTTTCGAGTAAAAAACTTTTTTTATAAATATAACAACAATAAGTAAGTTTTTCATTTCTATTTGTATATATAAAAACTTCATTGTTCCCCAAAAGGCTCAAAGTTTTTAAAATCCAGTCTATAATAGTCTTTTGGTTGTGGGGGACTTTCTCTTTTAACTTTAGTAAAAGAACGCATACAAACTCGCCTAAAATAAAAAAAGTTATACTATTAAATATAATAATATATTTAGAAACTAAATAAGCACTAATAAAAAGAATATAACAAAAAAAAATTCTAATAATAATAAGAATAGATTAAGAAAAAATATATCTAAAAATAAGTAAGCACTAAAAATAAAGGGTATAATTCATAGTAAAAAAAGAAAAATATATAAAAACTAAATAAGCAGTAAAAATAATATGTAGTAATAATTTTTGGACTAAATGTAATAAAGATACTACAAAAAAAGTCGAAATTTTCAGTGAATAAATATATTATGGTCAAAAACTTTATTACTTTAATATTTTTATTAAAAAAAATATAAAATTATTATTTGAATAAATAATTACAAGTTAAGAATATTATAATAATAATAAATAAAAATCAAGATGAAGTGAAGATATCTTTTAATAAATAAATTAAACTTTTTATATTAAAAAATATAAAAATTATTTTTTTATTACGGTTAACTTCATTATGATTATTATTACAAAAAATTGTATATTAATGCAATAAAAAAGAAGCCTAAAAAGCCGGGAGTATCAATTATAACAAACTTTTTTTAAAATATTATAGAATATATAAAAGCAGTCTTTTGATAGTAATGAAAAGTTATAAAAAAGTTTTAACTAAGCGATATTTTATAAAAATGTAAATAATAATATAAATAAAAATAATATCAATATAAATTTTTAAAAATTATAATATTAAATACAAATAAATATAATAATAAATATATTATATTATATATTAAAATAATATTATTTATCAAAACTTTTTTTGCCAAAATAAAAATTTTTATAAAAACTTTTAATATATTATTTTTTATTAATACATATTAGAAATTCCCTTAAATTTATTGTTAAAAATATGATCAATAAACTTTTTACTATTATAAATATACTTTCTACTTATTATTATAATATAATTCTAAAAATAATACTACTATACTTCTATAATTATAATTATATATAAACCTTATGACCATAATTGTTATTATATAAGTGTTAATATAATTTTGATGTATATTAGTAATCTTTTTTAATTTAGTATATCATAATAAATATTTTACTATTTAGTAAGTATTCTCTTTTACTTATTATTATAAATATTTAAAATAAAACGTTATTACTATATAAAAATAATAATACTATAAAAATTTATTTATATATGATAAATATATATTAACTTATTATAATAAATTATTTAAAATAAATATTATAAAAATATTATTAATTTACTACTTATTAGTTTTTCTTGTTATTGTATATAGTATAAAAATTAAACATTATTATTGTACGTTAATAACTGTACCGTGAAGACTTTTCTAATATAATAATTATATATAAACTTCATTAATATAAATAAATATAATACTAATGCCTTTTTATTCATTATTATAATTGTTGAAATATTACTATCTAATAATCATTCTTTATTACTTATTTCTGAGCATATTATAATAGTAAAACGATATTCCCTTACGATAATAAAAGTATTTTAGTTTTCTTTAGTATAAGAAATATATAAAGTCATTATATTGTTACGAAAACAAAATAAATAAAAAATTATTACTTCTTTAATTTTAATTTTTTTTTGTATTATCTTATTTCCATATACTTTCTCAAAAGATTTATAATAAAACTATTTTTTTTATTATAATTTAATTTTTTTTATTTTAAAAATATAACTACTTTTATGGTGATATTTTTTACATGAATTTATGGGTATTATATATTTTAATGTATTTTAAACATCATGATAAAAACTACCAATAAAATACATATTGTGCAAATATAAATATATACAACAATCAGTTATTCTTATTTTTTTACTTAAAGATTATTAGCAACTCTTAATAATTATTACTTATAAGCATCACAATTAATGACCTTCTACTAGATATAAGCCAATTAAATTTGCATATGAAGTCGGGGATTGCTTTTTTAGTGAGTCTATATATTTGTAAGCGTGGCACTCCTCGTTATAACTCCTTTTTATAGCAGCATGCTCTCCAGCATCCTCATTGGCAATAGAAAGTCCAATGACAATAATGTGTAAGGCCAGGTCGGTCTGTCAAAGTAATAATAATAATAATAATAATAATAATAATAATAATAATAATAATAATAATAATAATAATAATAATAATAATAATAATAATAATAATAATAATAATAATAATAATAATAATAATAATAATAATAATAACGAAACCATTGACAAAGAAGTATGTTCTTCAGAATTTTCTCCATAAAGTTGACGGTATATAATGTAACTAATAAGCTCAACCAGGGTCTCAGAGAAAAGCAACTACAGATTTAAATGATAAACATAATAATAATAACAATAAATTTAATTATAGTTATAATTACTCCAACTAAATGTTTAAAGATGGAGTTCGGCGGTACAGAAACCGGAAGGGGACGGAACGTTTCTTTAAATATATAATTACTATTACTATAAAAGATGAAAAATTATATAAACTTTATATTTTCTAAAAGAAATAGTACTAATTATAATAATAATTATAATAAATTTTTTTTTAATTATATAAAATTTATCAAGAACCGTTAGTAAGTTTTTTATTTTTTCTTTCTTCACAAACCGTACAATCGCCAGAAAAAAAGTGAAGATAATAAGGATTGACATGAGAGTACCTAAAGGTACAAATAATATGATAATAATGATAAGAGCAAGTATATAGTTATAATAACTACAAAAAAAATTAAAATAATAATACCATTTTTGATTCAAAGTATATAATAATGATAACAAAAAATAACCTTAACAATATATGCTCTTATTATTTTAATGTATAATAATCATTAAAAAATTTTAAATATATAAAAAAACTATTTTTGTTAAGATATTAATAATTACAAAAATTATTTAAAAATATTTTTAAAAATAATAATGACAATATTAGTAAATAGTAATACCATTCTTTATTCAAAGTATAAACACCGTAACTCAAGTCATTTTTGAAAGTGAGGGTCGCTATTTCCTCCAGTAGGTATTCATAATTGTTGAGATCAACATTAACGATGCGTTGTAACTTTTAATATATCACAATTATATTTTATTATTATTATTATAATATTAAATTTATATTTATACTCAATATTATTGGCGAATTATTTTGTATTTTCTACTGAAAAAAAAGTTATAATAAACTTTCTACATGTAAAAAAAGATATTTATACAAATGATTTATTAATAATTATTCAATAACATAAAAGAATACAAAAACGTATATATTTAGTGAAAATAATGAAAATTTTATTAATAATTATTAAAAAACTTTATAAGTAATACAATAATTTTAATATTATCTATATATTTTTAAAAATAAAAAAATAATACAAAAACCTTATAATTATTTAATAAATATTATAAACATTTATATTTTTAAAAAATTATAATAACTTTAAAAAGTAATATAATTACTTTTATTATTACTTTTTGAATATTAATAAAAGTTATTTAAATATTTAAAAAAATAAACAAAGAACTCAAAAAAGTAATACAAAAAACTTTTTTATAATTTTTTATAATTTTTTATAAAATATTATAAACATTATTTATATTTATAAAAGAAATAAATAAAAAATAAAGTATACAAAAACTCTATTATTATTTTATTATATGCAATTAAATATTGTATAAATTGTAAAAAAAAAAAAAAATTGAGACAGTTAATTTACTACTAGTTATAAAATATTATTAAATATTATTAAAACTAGTATAATAATAATATTATTTATTAAATATTCCTAATATAATTTAAATTATTAGAAATAGAACAACTTTATTATTATTTATAAAATTATAGAATAACTTTATTATTTTATATTAAATTTTAGTTTATTTGATATAAAAGTAATACAATAAATTTATTATTATTTATCAAATATTTCTAATATAATATAAATTATTAAAAGAAATAAAAAAGTTTATTATTATTTATAAAATATTATTTAATATTATATATATTTTAAAAATTAATAAATAAAAATTTGAAAGTAACACTATAACTCATTATTACTTAAAAATATTAAATATTATTGTAATATTAAATAAATCATGAATATTCTTTACTACATGTTATTATAAATAAATATATAAACTTTAGTAAATAAAAAAAAAGAAAAGAAAAGAAAATTTATTGATAATTAGTAAAAGTATAATTTTTATTAATATTTACACCGTTATAAAACTTTTTATTTTATATAATACGCATAAATATGTTTTTCTTTACTAAAAATTAAACTTAAAAAATAATATTTGATCTATTAAAATGAATATTTTAAATAATTAATAAAATATATTAAAATTATATTATTGGTTTACATAAAAATAAATATTATATATATGTTAATATATAATTCGAAGTAAAACTTTTTACTAATAATAATGCACATTTGAATCTTTTTTTTAATAGTTAACAATATTTTTAAAGGATATAATAATTATTAATAATAAAAAATATAAAAGCTTATTTAATAGGTTTCTTTACAAATTATTTTTAAAAAACGAAAAAAAATGTTATATCTAATAAGAAATAATAATATTAAAATATAACTGAAGCAAAGTTTATAATTATAAAAGTGTACCGCACTAAAGGGCATATCTTTCAAACTGAGTTGTTGCACGAGTTCTTTTCGAACGTCATCAGCAACAGAAATAGAATCAGAAACTCCCAAACCTTCAGTAGTTGGGTAATAAAAAAAAGTTATTTTTTATAATATAAAAATAAAAATTTTCAATATAAAAAAAATTTTTTTATTAGTAAAAAAGTGAGTATAAAACTTTATATATCTATTCTATAATATAAAACTTGATATAATATAAATATAATAATTTTTAATAAAAGTAATTAAAAAATAATGTTCAATAATAATAAAAAAGTTATTTATAATAATATATAAAATGATAAAATTTCATAATGAAAAATAATAAAAGTAATAAAAATGTTTAACAAAAAATAAAGCAATATTATTAAAAATATAAATCCTTTACAATATGTAAAAATGTAAATGCTTTATATAAAAAATAATAAGGAAAAGTTTAGTATTCAAAAACTTAATATATGATGTGAAAACAAAAACTCTAAAAAGATAAAACAAAATATTCTCAACAAAAAATTATAAATATTTATTATAGAAAAGTAATTAAAATACAATATAAAATATAAATTTTTATATTAAATAATAATAAATTTCAGTAATAAAAAAATATAGAAATGTAAAAATTCACACTACAACAATTTTAAATAATTTATAACAATATAAATTTTATTAGAAAAAATAAAGTTTAGTAGAAAAATGAAATTAACAGTAATAATATAGAAAATATAAATTTATATAATTAAAGGAAAAATTAAGTAATAAATAAAATTGTTACGAAAAATATAGAAATATATATATTAATTATAAGAAATAATAGAGGGCTCGCCGCACTCAATATAGTATATATATTAGTAGGAAGCACTCTTTACCATTAGATTATTTTCTAATAAAATGAAATTTAATAGATTTATATATAAAAATAGAGTTTCATTTTAAAAAATATAAAATTTCAGAAATAAGAATATTATATAAAAAAATACTCATTATAAAAAGTTATAAAAGTTCATCAGAAATAAAAAAAAATTTAAGTTATTAGAAAATACTATAATAAAAAATAAATTCTCATGATAATAAGTAAAAATAAAAAAGTAACAGTTAGTAATAAAAAAGATTAATAAAAATAAATTAAAAATAAAAATTCGCATAATAGATAATAATAGAAATAAAGCTCAGTATAAGTTTAGTACTAAAAAAGTTATTCATATTAAAAAAAATAAATATAGAAATTCTCATAATAATAAGTAAAAAAAAATTTAGTATTAAGATAATATTTATTAAAAATAAAAAAATATATGGAAATTCTCGTATTAAAAAGTAATAAAGGTACAGTTTAGTAATAAGAAAAAATTTATTAAATATAAATGAAAATATACAAATTCTCATAGTAAATGATAAAGTACAGTTTGGTATAAAAAGTTCTAAAAAATAAAAAACATCATTACTGTATAAAAAAATATAATGATTATTTAATAATTTTTTATTATAATCATTTATTTATGTTATTATTCATATCTATTATTAGTTTATTTAAATATTTTTTTATGAATAATTAATAAATAATTGTTATAACTGAAAAAATAATATATTTATACTACTAAATTAAAAGTTTTGAAAGTTTTAATGTAATATAAAGTGTAAAATTTAATATTTATTTTAGTTATTAATAGTAATAAAAATAACTATAAAAAAAAATTATAAAAAAGAAAAAATATACTCTTTAAATCTTTTGTATTTTTTTATAAAAATTATATAATAGTAGGAAGAATATAATTTCATAACGAACTATATAAGTTATGTAAGAAAAATTTAATAATTTGTTATTTCTCTAACAGTTTTATATTATAATTAATATTAATAAGTAAAAAGATTAAAATATTAAATAAAAAGTATAAATAATGGATGGTATAGTATTAATAATAATATTATCTTTTTATCTCTTTCATAGCAAAAATTAAAATATATATTTTATATAGATAACTTCCGAAAAAAAAAATATAGTAAAAACGAAATAAATAAATAATAATATATCATAAGAGCTTTAAAAATATATAATAATAATAATAATAATAGTAATAACAGTAACAATAATAATAATGTTCAAATAATTCGGCTAGGACATATTTTCCAAGTTTTTATTTTTAATGAAGTAATAAAATTAGAAAAATATATAGAAGTTTAATATATAAATATATATAATGGTTTATCATTATTATTATTACCTCTTTCATATATTAATGAAAAGATGAGCCACAAAAGGCGCTCGGCACATCTGAGCACTTTTTCATTATCTCCATCAACGCAACAATCACTTTTTTTTATTCCAGTAAAAAGCTTAACAAGTATAATAAATTA